GCCCGCCCAGCGCCCCGATCGCCCGCGGGTCAGTGTCTGGCACTTGACGGTAACACAGAAGCTTCTGGTGGAACTCGCCAGCAGAGCCCGTGCCTGCGCCTGGGCAGAGCCTGGGACTTCTGTCCTGAACCTCACTTCTCGCTTCAGCCCTCTAGTGATCCCCAATACCCAGAAGCTCCTTTTTGAAAGGTGGTTTTGGAACGCCAGTACCGGTATTTTCCTTAAACGTGGTTACTGAGGAGGGAGCGGGGCTGGCTCCCTCGAGGGGGGTTGCCAGAGCTTCAAAACTGCTGCTGGAGGAAAAGCCACCGGGCAGCCCCCGCGCCGCGACCCCGGCCTGGGCAGAGCTCCCAGGGGCTGCACCGGAGCCGGGGCCAGCAAAGCCCCGTCGGTCCCAGGGGCAGGGTCGGGGCTCCGCAGCCCCGGGGGGGCAATTCCCAGCCTCTCCCTTTGTGCTGGGTCTGGGCCAACCCGGGGCCTGACCTCCCTTCCTGCGGCCGCAGCCAGAAGCTTCCCATTGTCAACGCTCGACTGTTTTTCTAAAACCAATCTTTCTAGCACTTTTACAGGCAGTGAATAACCCTCTTTTAACGGGGTGTTCTGGGGGTGGTAAACAAGGTTTCTAAATCGTAAAGATATTAAGTGCCATTAGGAAATGTACAGTTTATCACTAAAATTCGCTCTTTCGTTGTCTTGCAAAATGAAGCTTAAATTGAAAGCATTTTTTTTTATAATGAAGTTGTTTATTAAAAGCATTTGAATTATCTGTCCCTGGTGTCATCTTGCAGGGAAATGGGGGTTTTAGGTTGGTTGTTTTTAAGCAAAAACAGAAGCATAAGGCAAGTCAAGGACCCAGTTCCCTACAAGAACCTACACAGGCTTTTAAGTTTCTTTCTAGCAAAGAATTAGACCCGACAAAAAAAAAAAAAAAAAAAAAAAGACATAGCAGCCTGTTGGGGCTTGGAGTGACAGCTGATTCCACTCTCTGGCCAAGAGAACAATGTCTGTTGGACAGAAAGTTCTGGTCACTTGGTTCCACCGGAATTACCGGCCCGTGTGGGAGAACAACCCGCTCGCCCCGTCCCGCCTGCGCCCGGCCCAAAGGCACCAGAACTGGCCCCAAACCTCAAAGCTTCAGCTATGACCGGCCCCAGAAGCTGAGACAGAGGCAAAAAAGGGCGAAGAGCATCCTGCCCTCCCCGGAATTTCTTTTAGGAAGGAGTTTAAAAGCCGAGAACCCTTTTCAGCACTCAGATACTTTTCTAGTTTTCGTCCCCAGTGAAACGTGCCCTTTCCTCAGCAGCGCTCTCCGGGGGCAGAGGAACCGCCTCAGAGCCTCGCGGGCAGCACGGCTTGTGCCTGCCTTTGCCTCTTTTAAGGGAGAAGGGACTCTTCCCATGATTTCTGACTTCATTATTTACCTGCTCTGGGCTCGGCAGCTGCTCAGGGTCACAGACATTCAGCAGCCCCCAACACGGGCAGCCCCGTCACCCCTCACCAGCCTCGGCTGTGCGCCCACACGGCTCTGCTGGGCAAAACGCCCTGGGAGAGGGAAATTCGCCATCCCCCCTCCCTCCGCATCAACCCCCACTCTCTGCTCGCCTGCCACGAACCCCCCAGCGAGGAAGGTCCAGCTCTCACAGCACCAACAGCCTCCAAGCTGCTCCTCAAAGGCAAGGGCAGCTCCGCTCCCTTCTCCCTTTACTCTCACCTCTTGCTCTAAAGCCCCACGTGCTCGCCCGGCCCTCGCAGCCCATCCACCGTCAGCAGTCCTGCTGCTCCATCCAGCCACACAACGCATCCCACACACGAGACGAGCTGCTGAAGCGTCCTCACCCCACGGGAGCAGAACGGGGACAGACCAAGCGCCTCGGCGGTTTAATTCCAGCGTACGGCAGCGCACAGGACGTGCCACGCGGGGGGAAAGGGACTGCTCGGTCGTGTGCCAGGAGGAAAATGTCACAGAGGAAACCGCAGTGGAGGCCAAGCTCGGCGTCTGACCACAGCCACACATCAAAGACCACGCGGGTCGAACATTCTGAAAAAAATCCCAAGAGGTGGCTTAGGAGAAGCCAGGAGAGCAGGACAACAGGACAATGGCAGATTTATTTACAACAGGACACAGAGAATACATACATTAATTAAAAATTACAAAGAATACAGAGAAAACACTTTGGGGAGGGGAGAGAGATCAATGCTGGCTGAGCCTCTCCACTGGGGCAGGGGCAGAAAATAAAAGTGAAAAGAAAAATCAACCAAAATCTCAGAGAGGGATCTCAAATCAGAACTGACACAGGACTCCATGGCCCAGCTGGCGCGTGCGTCCCCTTCTCCCTTTTCCCGTCCTCGGTTCCTGCCTGACCAGGCTTTGGCACGAGGGGCGGCCGGAGCCGCCGGGCAAGGCTGGAAGGGTCAGTGCCAGGGGGCAGCAAGACACGGGTCCTTGTGTGGACCTGGTGGAAACTTATGGCAACTGGGGTTAAAAAAAAAGCCCCAACCCCTTCAAGGGTGCACGTCAGTGCTGGTAACAGGGAGGGCTTTGGACAGTTCTGGATTGGAACGGTGTCACCTGTGGCTGACCATACCGCTTCCTACAGTGAGAAGGAAAAGCAAAATTTTCGTAGATCTCACTAAAAAAAAAAAAAAAAACCAACAAAACCCAAACACCTCTCCCCTGTAGCCCTGACTGAATCTGGCTAGTCTGGGGATGGAGGGAGCCTTCACTGCAGCGTGGTAAATTATCACCTAAGTGACCAAAAAAAAAAAAAAAAAAAAATTTAACCTCTTTTTAAAAGAGCTTCCCACGGACTGATTCAAAGCATCAAGCCACAGAAAAAGAGGAGCCTGCTGCAGAAGAACCCACGACAGCTATTGTGGAGGACTTGGACCGTTTCGTGGAGAACAAAATACAGCTTAAGGGGCACACGCTTCTTCTGTTCCTTGGAGGTAGAGAATCCAAGAGGAGGAAGAGGAGGAGGAGGAGGAGGCGGCAGAGAGCAGCGGGCAGGGAGCCAGGCAGCCCGCTCCCGGCAACGGGCGAGCTCCTCGGGGCCACCCCTGTCCCCGGGCCCAATACTGCATCAGCTCGCTTGGCACTAGGGCGGCGCCGCCCTCCCTGCGCGGGGCGGGACGCTCCCGGGAGGACACCGGCCCCGTTTCCTCACGCGGCTGGAGCGGAGCCGCCGACAGGACGAACCTTCGTGGTTACCTCGCACGTCCCTCCAGTCCGGCCTTGGAGCACCAGCACGTGGCTTCCGCCAGCCCGTCGCGTCCTGCGCCCCCCCAGCCCCCGGAGGGGAGGGGAAGCGGGGCCGGGGCCGCAGTTCTCAGGCGCTCGCGGGTGAAATTGCACTTCCCAGGCTCGGAGCGGCACCTCCGCCGAACGGTAACCCAGGCAGGGCCTGTGCGGGCCGGGCTGGCGCTGGGGGGCCTCGGGGCTCCCTTATCTCGCCATAGTCAAGCTCCCTCTTCCGTGCAGACGTGAAGGCAGGAAAGAAACCCCGTCTGGTGTTTGTCTGAAGAGTCTCCCTGAATCCTAGAGCACCCCAGGGGCTGGAAGAAAACGTTTTCACCAGTGTTTCCACTGCTGTCTCAAATCCATTTGTCATCAACATAAAAAAAAAAAAAGAGGATGAATTAGCAAAAAGGGGGTTTACTTATACAGAGGGACATTTGTCTGCTAAAAAACTCCCTCAAATATGGAACAGGATAATAAAGTTAAAATGTAAGGTATCTACAGACCCCTTTTCCCCCCAGAAGTAGCCCAGAATCCATGTACACTGTGCCAAAGTTACATTCCAAAATGAGGAGTTATTTATTTCTCTTGTCACTCTCCCACTGGATTTTGTTTCCTCAAAAGAGTCGGGAGAAGCCGTGCCCTCGGCTCCCGGGCGGACACACGCTCCGAGGCGTCAACTCGCTGCTGGGTGGCTGCACCTTCAGTCTATTTTCACGGCGGCGTAGATCTTCCGGACAAACATGTAGGCTGCATAGAAGCCAATGGTGCCAGTGAGGAGCCAGAAGGACAAGACCATCAGGGCGGTGTAGCCGAAGTACAGTAGGGAGGGAATGAACTCGACAATATCCAGCTGAAACAGAAGGAGAAACGAGCAGAATGAAGGACGGGGGTATCAGGAGTGAGCTCCCGGGTGGCCCGTGCCTCGGCCAGGAACCCCCCTTGGTGACGCACGATGCCCTCGGGGGGGTGTGAGGGCACAGGGACCCCTCCAGGGCCTGTCCTGCCCTCGGGGGGGGTGGTGGTGAGGGCACAGGGACCCCTCCAGGGCCTGTCCTGCCCTCAGGGGGTGTGTGTGAGGGCACAGGGACCCCTCCAGGGCCTGTCCTGCCCTCAGGGGGGGTGTGTGAGGGCACAGGGACCCCCTCCAGGGCCTGTCCTGCCCTCGAGGGAGCTGAGGAGCTGCCCAGGGCCGGACAGGGACGTGCTCGGAGCAGGCGGCGCCGCCGCTTCCCATCCCAAAGACAACGACCTCCTCCAGAGAGGCGGCACCTCCACGCTGGAGGAGCAACCATACCTTGTTCACGAAGTAGAAGATGGCGTAGATGAGCACGTAGAAGGCGGATCCTCCGGACACCAAGAAGGTCCTCCACCACCAGCGGTAATCCTGCCGGGGGAAAAACCCTGTTACCCCAAAGGCTGCTTCTTCCTGTGCCGCTGTCTCAGGGATGCCGTGACCCTTCTGGGACAGGGACAGCACCAGCCGTTTCCCTTTAAAGGAAAACCACAGCTTGGGGCTGGGGAACTGCTCTGTCACAGGAATGTTTCCAGACGCAGAGGATGAGGAGCTGACGGTGAAGCAAAGGCAGGTCAGTACCACAGCACCTGCTGCCGGAGAACACAGCTCACCTCTGACCCCACGTTTGGTTTTGTGTGGGGATGGAATCAAAGAGTTTCTTTGGGAAGAGGTGTCAGCTCCAAATACCCTGCTCCCAGCAGAACTGCTGGTGTGAACCCACAGTTCCCAGCCCAGTGCAGAATCAAGGAGCTTCGATTCTCTTTGAAGTCAGGAGGTGTCAGGAGCAACCGTGCCGGCGAGGCCGGGCAACACGAGATCTCTGCTGAGCCGCAGCACTAACACAGCCTGGGGTTCTCCAGGAGCAAATCTCCTGAGCTACCGAAACTACAATGCAGGAATCTCACCTCAGCACAAAGCTGGAAGTACACCATGACGATGCTGATTTGGGAGCAGGATACCACCAGGATTATAAACACCAGGAACAGAAAACCGAAAAGGTAATAGAACTGGTTCTCCCAGATCGCCTGAAACAAAGACGCAGCAGAAATTTGTGTCCGTCCTGCTGCGATCGATCGGCGAAGGTGAGAGTAAGTTCTAGCAGCTAATCTGAGGGAAATCGAGGAGCCCCTCAGCCTCACGTAGGTGAAACCACAGATCTGATGCATTTCACAACTCCAGAGGAATCAGGTTGCAAAAAGGTGCCCCAAGACAGCTCAGAGGTAACTTGTTCATCCCCCCCGGAAATTCCTCCCCATCCACAGAAGGTGATAAACGGGCGGCAGCTGGGATGGCTCAGGGAACGCCTGGAGAGCAGGACCCCTCCCTGACATCACCTTACAGCAAGTTTTCACCTTTACCCCCCAAATTGCCAGGGAGTGTCCCCGAGACACCTCCAGGTGCCCTCAGCAAGGGGACGGCCTGACAAGAGCCACAGGCTCTGGAGACAGCCCCGACTGGCCTGGAGGGCACCTGCCAGCCCCTGCAGCCAGGACAGCAAGAGGAGCCTGCTCCAGCGGGACCCCATCCCCTCCAGAAGCTTTAGCACGAGAGGAATCCCGTTTGGGAGCGAAGCGGGTTAAATACTTACACTGAAAATGAAGAACAGTTCGATGAACATAGCTCCAAAAGGCAGGATACCAGCCATGAGAATCCTGCAGAGCGAGAAAGAAAAACGATAAGCAGCACAATCTAAGCGTGTGGCCATTACAAGTCCCCTGTAACCACACAGAGCGCTCCCAGCAGCTCTACAGCTCCCGATTAACCAGAATAAACGTCACACAGTCAACGGCCCAGCTGCTGCTGAGCACGTGCCCCTTCCGATCCGGTGTGGCTGGTGCTTATAAAATCGTCACGACTGTCCCCGGTATCGCGTTACTCAAGGAAACGCATCTGCTGTCTGCGCCCAGAGACCAGCAGGGGATGCTCAGCGGCCCAGGAGAGTGAGGGGAGGGGGCTGGACTCACCGTATTCCCCAGACACTCATCAACTCACCCAACAAATTTATTCATATACCACCTCTGCTCCGGGATCTGCCTGGGAATCTGGTTTGTCCGTACGGGATTGTCATACGGCTGCTTGCGAAACCCGAAGTAGTAACCCAGGTAGACCAAGGGCAAGGAGATCCCGAACCACATGCAGAGCAAGGCCACCATGGTGGGGAAAGGCACCTGGAATCACACGGCCAGGGGCCGGGGTCAGGCGGGCAGCGCGTCTCCCCCGGCACAACGCGGCGGCCGGCCCACGGGCACCCCCGGGCAGAGGGACCCCGTGGAAGGAAGCAAGTCCCCGGCAGCCCCTCACCCCGCTCCCACCTGGCAGACACCCAGGGGAAGGTACCCACCGCTCCGGAGGAGTGCTTCCCCCAGATGAAGCAGTTCAGGACGAAGCAGATCCCAAAGACAACGCCCGGGTACAGGGTAGCTGTCTGCAAGAGCAACACGGGTTAGGAGGAAAGACGTGGCTCATCAGCCAGACGTTTCTCTTCCACGAGTCACACGGGACGAGGCCCACGTGGAGGAAACGTCCCTTTTGCTGCAGCCCCAGCAGAGCGGGGGGGCTGCGGGGAGGGTCCTGGACAAGGCTCTGGCTGTGCTGTAGTACGTGCTGTGGTGTTTGCCCTCTCGTGTGGAGCTGTGAGGGCTCAACCCCCCCCAAACCCCCACAGCACAGCCAGGCTGCGTCCTGCTACCCACAAACCCACGTGGAGCTTGTCCACAGCCACCAGCAAAGCTGGGTAAGGGCACAGAACTCACACAAAAGGCTCCCTTCTTCCAGCGATGCCCTTTCAGAGTCCGGTATAAGCGGCCAGCGAAGAATCCACCAAAAACCCTGGACAGAAACAGGGCAAGACAAAGAAAATCAGCTTCTGTTGTCGGGGAGAGGGAGGGGAGGGGTGGGCAGCGGGAGGCACCTACCCCATGAACATGAAGAGGAAGCAGGCGGTGGTCATCAGCGCGCCCCGGCTGGAAGGCGACAGCATCCCCAGCATCGCCACGACTGCGGAGGGAGGGGAGGAGAGAGCGGCAGCCCTGAGGCCCGTGGGCTCACCAGACACAGCCCCCGGCCGCCCCCGGCACAGCCCGCGTCTCCTCCCCAGCCTAAGGCACCCCCAGCACTGGCCGGAGGAAGGCCCAGCCCTGAGCTCAAGCTACAGACCAGGCTTTAGCCTCAGTCTTCCCAGTGGTCAGAACAGGCCCCGCTCAGAAGGCAAAGCACACACGTGCCCAGGTCCCTCAGCCTGCGGTATGAGTCCGGAGCTCGTATGGGGGTGACAGGAAATAAAACCACAAAACGACGCCTTCAGCTGGGAAACACGACCTAG